AGTAAAGTAGCTTTTCTGTAACTGGTAATAGAGACTGAACTTTAAAAAGGAGACAGCATTTGGTAGAAAAAAAACTGATAAAGAGATGAAAACAGATGAACGTGCAAAATTGAGATATTTTTGGTGGTTATGGTGTGATAAGAAATGACATCAAACAGAATCCCTTATGTAGTGAGCGAAAGGCTGAATGGCGAATGGAGACATGGGAAGAGGCCCGCTGAATAACCTGGATGAAGCGGGGATGGGAAGGAGGAGGGATACATGACAGACAGCATGAGAGACAAAGTGACAGTGACAGACAATTCATTTAAAGAACAGAGGCGGGAGACTTGATTGGCTCACAGAACACAGACAGATCGGTCACTGGATGAGACTACCAATGTCAAACTTTCAAAATGAATGGATTTGACAGCAAGTGAAAACCAATGACAAAAAGGCAGAGCAGCGAATAGAGCTTATAGCGCCATTAACCCCCCCCCCCCAAAAAAAAAACAAAAAACAAAAACAAAACAAAAACAAAAAAAGCCCCTTTAGTTTAATGTGATATGAAAGGGGTAACTGTTTCCTCAGTGGGTAATAATCATAATCATGATAATCATAAGTTTTGGTGTTTTTGTAATTGTCAAAACTGCCTAAAATTGCTGTTTTTTTGAATATCTTCATTTAAACAAATAAAAGCTGACTTGCTTTTGGAGGTTTTGAAGATTGATAATTGTAATGTGATTATACAACCCGAGTTACTACAGTTTAAATAAAACATATTCCATTTTCACTTCATTTACCTTCTCTAACCAATGTTTCATTCTGACAAGCATGTTTTTGCTCATGTTTTGCTAATAATGTGTTGTCAGGGTGAGAGTGGTTTCATGTAAAGCTTGACGAATCTGTTTTTGACTATCCAGATATTCCTTTGTTGGTTTGGCATGTGTTTTTCACTCGTGAGATGTGGATATTCGTTTTTCCAAAATGTGGAAATAATTACCATCTCAGCTTGGGCGAATGACATCCCTCTCGCTCACAGCAGTGATCTTCACACTTCAGTTCACCTCATTGCTGCCAACTTAGCGACTTTGATGCTAAATTTATCAGCTTTTCATGCCCTTTTACATACTTTTTTTCGTTGTTTTGTTTTATGCGCACAAAAAAATAGTCGCCACTACAGCTTTCGGAGACCAATGTGTTGCTCTTCTGCCACAAGCACACCTCATTCTTCTGATCTGATCTGTTGAACAAATTGCAGAGAAGCAAGTAGCAGGGCCTGTTTGTGTTGCTCCCCTACTGCCATAATCAGACTGTCCTATACTACGCTTATCAAAGCACAGTTAAAAAAAACCAACACAAATCAGCTACTGTGAAGCACAATAACACCTAATTACTGTACTGTTTGTATCTGATTGTAGCAAGCAATTTGGAGGTTAAAACACAGACATTCGAAGGTTTAGGCTATCTAACCTTGAACAACATTTATGCAAGTACTACAAAATAAATCAGATATTTTTTGTTGTTCAAAGTGATTTCTTATTTAAAGTGGACCAATTATGAACATATTTCAGCTGGAACAGGCTCCCAGCTCGCCCCACAACCCTAAGATGGATAAGTTGTTGAGAAAACAGACCTCATTACTCTGCCCCTTCTTCTCTTACTAAGTGTATTTTTTGTGATTGCAAAAGTGTCATGAAGTTGTTATTGTCTCTTTGGTTGTTTTTGCTTTTTTCCTGTTCAGATTGTAACCCAGGCTCTGACTTAGCATTCAGTACATCTCTTCAGTCGTCTCACAGTTGAAGACTCTACTGCATTCACCCTAGTGGACAATGAAAAAGATGTAATCATGATGTAATTTTGGAGGAATGGGACCGTGCAGCAACTGAAAACTGAAGTTTTAATGGCTTTGTATTAAAATGGCTCTTTTTTTTTTTTTGTGAAGCAGTGAAAAACAGCCAAGCATAGACGTGCACAGACGATCACAAACTGCCTCTGTAATGATTAAAAACTAAAAGGATACTTGCCACAAAATTGTCATGTGGCTGCCAGAGATGGAGCTGACAGGCTAGGACTGTAACACATTGAAACATATTCAGTGTATTTTACAATATAATCAAATATAAGTAAGCCATGCTATTTAGATTTGACTACATATGGTTCAGCAATTCTGTGTGTTGTTGTAGTCTGTTCTTCAAGATGAGGATTGTGAAAATGTGCGCTTATTGTTGTCCTCTGTAAAGCACACGCTGGCTAAGTATTTATATAAGACTGATGCATTGAACTCTACAGGTTAGGTTACATTGCATTTGAAATATCTGTATTTTGGTTCACAGCACAGTTGATTTATCATCGACTGCATTACACAGAAATGGCTGTACAGCCAGCCAATTGACAAATAGCAGAGCTTCAGTAACATTATCTCTATCTAACTGTTACATTACAGCTGTCTAAAAATAAATAAAAAAAAGGAACACAATGTGAGATTGTGCTGAAGATTATATCTAATTTTAAATGTCCGAAAGAAGACCGACACACAGGCAAACGTCCTGCATACCAGATAAAGGAAAACAGTGTTTGTTACGGTGTGTTTCAAGTTTAATCTGCAAAACTTTATTATGTTTTGGGAAATGCTTTACCGCTCAGTTTCATCAAAATATAATTTTACCCAAATACAGTTGTCTTGCAGTTTGCCTATAAATTACTGAGCAATAACAAAACATTTCTCACATCTTTCTCTCTGTACGTCTGTTATTTCACTCCGTTTATTTATTTGTTCTGCTCAACTGCAGATTAAAAACGTTCCTGCTTCTAGTCACACCACCACATTGACCATTATGCATGAAGACCTGACTATATTCCTCCTGAGCGTCCAACATTCCCCCTGAAAAAAAGATGTGTTTTGAGATAATAAAAGTGACTCGCGCTATTGTGTACGCTACAGATAAAATCTTAAAGCGATGAAGCACCATAACAGACTTACTTTAATCATGTTTCACTTTCTTAAGCTTCCCAAATCTCAAGCCTAGTTACACATTCATGAAGCCAAAATGTACTTATAACTCGCAGACAGCCCAGGGTAGGTGTTAGAGGAGTCTTGTAGCAGCCATAGGCAAGTTTGGAAGTCAAATCATTAGAAATTTGTTAAAAATTGTTCAAAAGTTCACCTTTTTTCCTCTCGCTGCTTCAAAATCATCCCTGTAATTTCTTGCTGTTAACTCTACCTGTAACAGAACAGAGTGCAAATGGGGTGTAATGGGTGGGGTTGGAGTTGTGTCACCTTCGATAACCAGTTTGATGAATCAGTCAGAGAAAATCTGTTTTGCAGCGCAATTACAGAGCAAAGGTGATAACGCATTCTGCTCTCCTGTATCTGTGATACTTGAATGAAGAGACAGAGGATAACAAGCTCGCTGGAAAAAAGCTTCTGACAGTGGGGCAAAATTGTGTGTCATCACTGTCTTCCACTTTAATGTAGGTATTTTATAGCACCATAGACATACAGGAGTTCAGCTGCAGTTATTCTGACTTAGAAAAATAACATTGTTAAATGTGATAAATTTGATGCTTTCTAAGTGGACGTTTGTCTGTAAAGCAGTGGCCCACACAAGTCTCCCCTCTTGCTGAACTTTTGATATTGTAAGACAACGACAACAATTTTTTTTCCTAAAAGAAATTATTTTTTGCATATATGGAAATATTAGTTATTCAATTAAATTCAGACGACTCCTCGAGTTATTGAGTAATGCATTAAGGATGGTCTGAATCCACCATTGGAATAAAGAAAATAATGTAACCAAGTTAACAAGTTTCTATTGATTTATTATTTTTTTAGTACATTTAGCATTTATATTTAGTTCAAATTCAGCAATTCAAAGTTATTTTAATGGCATGGCAGTTTTAAATAAACACATATAATTAATATATAATTATATGCATATGTGCATGTGTGGAAGATGTGCCTTGTCCTTCTCCTTTGAAATGTCTATTTAAATTTGGAATTGGTTAAAGGAAGTGTTCCTTACCTCACTAAATTTTTTACACTTCAGGAGGAAAATACATCTCTGTTTCTGTTTCAACCTTACCTATCAAACAGTAATCACATGTCGGGCTTTCTTTATGTTGCCATGCCTTGTTGTGTCTTTCTCGTTTGATTGCCAGTTTGTTTTCACCGAGCTTATACTGGCTTAGGATCTGTCTCTGCTTTCTGTCTCTGATGGTAAGGAGATATTCTTCCAATTCATAGTCTTTGTTTAGCACTAAATCAAACATGTGAGTCTGCATTGGGTTTTAGTTTCTTCTTTCCAGTGTTTCAGATAGCTATCTGTGCGTTGTTTTGATTTGGATCACTCTGATTGGTGTTTGGAAAGCAGTGTTGTGAGACTGATCAGCGTGTGTTTGAGAGGAGGCAGCGTAGTATCAACCCTAGCTGACACATGGGACTCTTTTCTGGGATCATCTCTTGGGTTTGGAGGGCTTTGCATTGGATGGTGTCTTGGGGCCTGGATTTAAGATGATTAAAAAATGTGAGTGCTCTCGTTTGAATGTTAATTGTCAGTGAATATCTGCCTAATTCTGCTTGACAGACATTTGCTGGTGTGTTGCTGTGTGTATGAAAAGCGTATATAGAGAATTCTGCATGTAGAGATTTCAAAGAGTGTTTATCTCAGTAGGTATAGCTCTGATGAATAAACCCCATACTTTGCTAACCTAAGTAGGCTTTTTGCAAACTACCCAAATGATGTGGTATGTTCTGAAAAAAATAGTACAAAGAAAGTAAACTGTCAAGAAGTGGATTATATTCTAGCAAAAATAATCTTCCTCTGAGTTTTTGAGTTATTAGTTCCAAGAAACCTGTGTCTTTGTGTGAGCTTCCATGTGCACACAGAATTGAGAAACATGCAGAGAAAATTCAATATGTGCTCCCTACCAATCCATTTTAATGAAGATGAAGTCTTTGTAATTGCCCACGTCTGCTTCATATAAATGAATGCACTCTCTTTTTTTCTTGCCTCTTCCAGATATTAACGAATGCGAAAGGGACCCGTGTAAGAATGGGGGCATTTGCACAGATCTGGTTGCCAACTATTCCTGTGAATGTCCAGGAGAATACATGGGGAGGAACTGTCAATACAGTAAGTACTCCTGTTTCTTTTTTTGGCAGTGTTTACCTTCTAACTCTTACAACATACCATTGATTCGAACAGCACACCTGATGCTGCAGGTAATTGCACTGCTGGTAGTATTACCGACACAAAGTGATCGATTAGAGAAAAGGGGGGCTGGTAATTCTCATAAAAAGCGTCTGTCTTCTGCTTTAGTGCTTGGTGCACCTCCCTTTGATGATAGATTTTCAATGATATGCAAGTTTATCAACCCCTTAAGTCCAGAGCATTTTAGGAAAATCCCCACATGGAAAAAGCAGATTTAGTGAGTCACAGCTGGAAGACCTTGGGCTCTATGAATAAGTACACTTGGGAGAGTTTTGAAGTACAGTTTGAAGTATCATCCTTATCATCAGTTCAGAGTAAGATTTGAAAATTTTCACCTAAATGTAAATAGCAGCTTTATGCAAATGTGACATTGATGTTGTTGTGCGTTTTAAAAAATGTAACACTTTCTCTGAATAAGACATCAGTAAGACATTATAAGATATTGTAATGCATAACAATTAATTATTATAAGCACTAAAAATAATGTATTTCAAGTCCAGTATTCAAATGCTTGCTTTCAAACTAAAATAACTGAACTACATGACACATTATAACTACTATGACTTAACCGTTTATAAAGTCACAAAGAGATCCATCCCTACAAACCAGCATTCTTATAAATACCCAATTCTGGTGTTAATATAAAGTGAGATTCTTATGCAAAGTGACTAGAGGAGGTTATTATTAGCAAAGCTATGACACTATAACACATTCTCAGCTATATTCTTTGCTGCTTAGTGTTAGACACAAAGAATCAGATGACTACCAAAACCTTATCAAGTGTTTATTTTCCAAAACACACAGTTCCAACACAGAAAACGGCACCATCACAGTAAACACAGCTGCCAGTGGTACAAGTGGGAGGTATTATTGAGTATTCTCCCAGGACAAGTTTGAATGTGAAACAGAAAGTGAGGCTGATGTTGTGAGTGAGTATGTGAGCTCAGCCAGCTTGTATTGGGCAAATAAAAGCTAAAGTGAAAATGATCAGTATTATTAGCATCACCAGAAGAAAAGAAAATGCATTTTAAGGCTTTAGTGATGAAAGACTGCAAATTTTGTGCGTAGCTATCAAATGTTTACTGATGCCATATAAGTGCCTGAGACTTGATGCCTTTTGGTCTTGTGTTGGGGAGAATATGGTGCTGCCTAATGTAAGGTCAAATTGGCTCATGCTGGCTCATGCTGAGTCATTTGGGATGCTGGCTGCACAGAAAAACATGCATTTCATGTTGCTGGTTACAAAAACACAGAAACCTAAACCTGAACATAAAGGGTCTTGGAAATGTTTCATATGTTCTACAAAAGGCCCAACAGAAAATTGCTTCTGGGCTCTTATTGAAAGGAATCAGTTGGGTGTGAGGGTTAGATTTCAGGTGAAGAGGATTAATAACTGTAGGAGCCACCCTGTGAACAGTGTGCTTTCTGAGCACCATTAAATGTAAAGAACCATACAGTTAGACTCATAAGTATTTGGATAATGGCACCATTCTTTTTATTTTGTCTGTGTACATCACCACAGTGCATTTTAATTACACAACCAAGATTTGACTGAAGTGACCACTTAAAGTTTTTTCAGCAAGTATTGCATTGCTTGTTTAGGAAAATATATATATAGCCGTTTTTATACATATTCCCCATTTTCACAGGCCCCAAACAAACTGAATTTAAGGATTGTTTTGATACTCAGATGAAAATCCTTCATAATCAATAACTGCCTGAAGTCTAGAAGCCATGATGTATCCACTGTAGCCACCTTCAGCTGCTGCTTGCTTGTACTGTATGTCTCTCTGTTTGGTCTGTTGAGTTCAAATCAGCTAACGGTCACATCACTGGTTCCACTGGCAGGCCTACATGCCCATGTCATAACATTGCCTCCACTATTTTGACAGGTAATGTGGTATGGTTTTTGAATCACGAGCTGTTTCTCTCCTTGTTCACACTTTTCACTTCCTATTATTCTGGTCTAAGTTAATCTGGGTTTCATCTTTTCAAATTTGTTGGGATCTTTGTTGTTGTTTTTCCCTCAAATGTGCAGATGTCTTCTGGCAAAGTCTAATCTAACCTTCTTGTTGAACAGCGGTTTGCACCTCGTTGTAAACTGTCTATATTTCTGTTCATGACGGCGTTGACCGTCTTGATTGTCGACCCTGGCAGTAGTACACCTACCTTCATGAGAGTGTGACTGTC